CAAACTTTGCCTGCTCTACAGACGGTTTTAAAAGAGAATTACCAGTTTGGTCCTAGCTAGCAGAGCCTTCAGAAAAACTCCAAAAATTCAGAAAGATCTACACATACAAGCTGCCAAATTGGCTTTCATAAAAGCACCGAGTTCTTTGTGCTTAAAGACGAGGCAGGCGATGCGTAAGATGATGGATTTTGCAACACAAGAAAGCGCACCTACTATGGGAAGTGCCCCTTATTTCCCGAGGAGGTCTCACACTGTACTACAGGAGGACACGGACTTGCAAATTCCGGTGAACTCAGCTTTTACAACATGTAGCCTATGCAAAGAGCACAGCCCACATGCGCCATCTTGTTCTAGGCTGAAAAGTGAGGTCACTTACACTACAAGAGCAGCAAGGCACAGTACCAGCTCCAGTGCACAGAAACAGCGAGATGCACACATGCTATCTGTGCTTGTTTACAGGCTTTAAAAGGCTTTACAAGAAAACAAGGCTATCTCAAATATTAGTTAGTTTAGAAATGCCAAAACTCTGCCAGGCAAGGGAGGGAATCCTGATCTGAGGCTGGTGCAGGATTCAGGCTCTGCCTGCTCCCCAGCCTCTAACCAGGCTTCTGGAACCCCCCAGCTCAGACGGCGATCTCGGCCTGTCTCCCAGGGAGAAGCTTGACCCTATGTGTACAGATATCCAGCCTCTGCATCCCGCTGGCACTATGATAAAGGATTTTCACATTCCAGCTGTAAGGAATGCACTGGTGCCCACAAACAGACACAACAGCACACAGCAGCTTAGACACCAGACCTCCCATATCCACTTTACTGTCCAAGCTAGGAAAAAAATTTCTTAGTTGCAAAGGGGCAGTAAACTTGAGCTTATATACATTTAATAGGTACGATAATGGACTAGGAAGTCTTATTTTTTTCAATATACATTACATAAACATGATTTATTCCATTCCAGAGATGCTGCTAACACGTGCGTGCCTAACGGAGACATTAGTACAAGCACCTGAAGCCGTGTTTCACTAAAACTGTCAACTGTAAACCTGCTGTAGAAAACCACAATTCAAACCACTTCAAGAAAAAAAGAAACTTGGGAAAGCTGAAAATCAACTTCCAATTACCCCCAAACATCCCTGAAGATCTCAAAACATTTACTTAATCCTACAACATGAGAATCAAATTTAATTCAGGCACAAGGACACAAAAAGACCTAAGGAATCCAAGACCTAACTGGCCCTGTTGTGTTATTTTCTGGAATCCAGGACACGTATCTTCTCCCACGTACCTCCATCTCTTGCTGTGCAACTTCACACGCTGCCCCCAGGCCGACTGCTAGCGGGGTGGGCACGGTCCCAGACCGCAGTCCTCTCTCCTGGCCTCCCCCACTTTGCAGGGGTTCCAGCCTGACGCGTGGCCGTCGGCGAACATAGATGGCACCAACCCCTCGAAAACAAGGAAAGCTGCTTTAGTATACACCCACAGCTCTGAAATTATGAAAAGGGACTCCAAGGTTTGGAAACATTCTTTATTTCCACGGCAAACACGTATTTGGCACCTCACTGGAGAAAAATGTAGTGAACACATCCAGAAGCACAACATTTTCTAGGAAACGGTGTTTGTTCCCACTGTTCACGTTCCTCTTCATTCAGGCTCCCAGAGCTTCAGCCACAGGAGAAGCTCAGCTTTTGCCAGTGTGCTTCATCCACCTGCGGGCTCAGGACTTCCCTTCTCACAACTCCCTCTGCACTGAAGTTTTTATATGCAGGTATTTCACTCACTGATCTTCCCTTACTGACTGCCAGCTGAAAGCTCTGGAAGAACTCCTTTCCCTGGATCACCCCGCCAGCACCAGTCCCAGGGGTCCTCCCCTCTCCTTAGGGAGACTCATCAGTGGCACCAATTTCAAACGGGCACATTAGATGAGCCAGTTTCGACAGCCAGCCAGTTTCACTCCCTAGTCTCCTCACCTAGAAACTTGATTTCCATGTCTTTGTGTGTGTCCTGCTTGTGGCTGGAATAGAGTTCTTTTTCTTCCCAGTAGCTGCTGTGTTTTGGATTTAGTACAAGGAGAATGTTGATAACACTGACGGTTTTACTTGTTGCTAAGAAATCAAGGACCTTTATTCAGTCTCCAATGTTCAGCTGATGAGCAGCTGTGCAGGAGCTGGCAGGGGGCACAGCCAGGCAGCCAGCCCGAGCTGGCCATGGAAATATTCCACACGGTGGATGGCGTGCTCGGTATACAAACGGGGGTGGGCCGGGGGGCAGGAATCTGCAAGATCTGCAAACTCCGGGAGTTCCGCGATCGCTGCGTTGGGACAGGCTGTGCAATCGGTCATGGCACGGTGACAAAAACTGTATTGTGTATCACTTCTTTTGCATATTCTTTATTATTATTCCTTCCTTTGTTGTTTTATTAAACTGTCTTTATCTCAAGACATGAGTTTTGCTTTTTGCCCACCCTCCTCCCCATCCCACTGGGGGGGAATGAGCGAGCGGCCGTCAGGTCCTAGTTGCTGGCTGCCGGGCTAACCCACGACAACGTGCCTGGGCACACCTAACGAGCGACAGCCACCACAGAAGGAAAGGCTGCACCTGCTGGTCATAACAGCTTGTGAAAATTTATGTCTGTCACCTGCCCAAAGTTACTGGGGGGAAACACAGTCCTCCTCCAGAGATATGTCTTCAGCTCTCAAGATAGCTCGTACGGAAAAAGAAGACATATTGAAAAAGTAATAATTTTGCCTTCTGTTTCTGAATAGCACATAGAATACAGCAAACCTGACTTCTGTCTTCCTACATCCAGTGTTACACACCAAATGAACCGTGACAGTGACAACAGCTGAACCTTTACTATTTGGGAGGCAACTAGAAAATCCATAGCTGAATTTTAAACCCCATTCTGCAAACAAGACACACAAATGGCGCTGGGTGGAAGAAGCCATTGGAAGACAACCAAAATCACTAAGAATTTAAACTTTCCGGTCACCTTTTGATCTCCTTGTTGCAAGTTACACTTGGGTCTAAACCTTGCCCTGTAACCCAGTGATTTCATTTCAAGCGTTTCAGCATCAATGCTGCTTCACACCAAGCAGATGACTCCCGAGAAGCCACCACTCCTACTGCTGCCACCACTGTAAGACGCTGCTGCTTCCTTCGGTGAAGCCACCTCACAGCCCATTAGCACTGAAGATCCACCTACGACAGCTCTACGTCTGGCAGCAGTCCCTGAACTACTCCCAGGTCAGTCCAATACCAGTCTTAGAACAGTTTTCTACAGTGTAAGTAACAGTCACTATGACAGACAGGTCTGACTTCATACCTGGGGTAGTTACCTTAAGAAAGGCACCGAAACAACAATTCTGTAAAGAAGCACCACTAAGTACCTTTGGGCCCATAAATTTTATGGCCGCTGATGCTCATGAGATCAATTTTCATGCTGTTGACATCCATCGGAATTTTACCAACTGCTTGTGCAGCGTCTGTGTGGAAGAAAACCTTATGCGCGCGGCAGATCTCACCTGTAATAAAGACACAAAAGCAAAAAAAAAAACCCCACGTTATCTCACCTCATCATTATGATTGCAATGATTCCAACAACGAATCTAAAGCACCAGTTTATAGCAGGGACCAGTTCGGAGGTGACAAAGGAAGAAACGGGTGCTGTCATGTCTCCTTGCCAGTAAAACGTCCAAAGCCGTGTCGGAGCTACTCGAGCTGATGGGCACAGGTTTAGGCAGGTCAGCACTAGGACTGCGGTGAATTTCTTCAGTTGAAAAGTTAAAAAGTCTTCTGCTGTTGAGAGGCGAGATTGTTTCCAAACACAGACCTACCAAGTTTAAGTACAAAAGGCTGCACGGGACATCCAAGTTTCCCCACAGGGATGACTCCACAGCTGGAGAAAATTACATTTTTTTTTGCTTGATTCTTCTTCTTCTCCACACCAGTCCAGCACAAGCCAGCCTTACTTTCAAGTTCATACTTGCCAAGTATTTTTATGCCATTTCCTCTATTTTTCAGGTTTTGCAATACTGAGCTTTAGAAATGTTCTCAGAATTGTCACTAGTCCTCACACACGCTGATTGCTCCCCACATGAAGTCACTCGAGCCCGTAATCAATATTTTTGCATCCAGAGCTAAAATACAATGTAATGTTCATGGGCAGTGAACTTCAATATTATTTTTGCCATCAAAAAACTCACACCTCATCTTCCGGAGTCCGTACCTAGCGCAGTTGCATCCCAGACCTCTCCTCTGCACAACAAGCTCAGCACTATCTTTCACAGGAGAAGTTGTCCTCCTGTGGGCCAGCAAGAACAGCATTGCTCCTGCCAATATCAGCCCACGGGTTAACCCAGCAAGGCCCTGGTCCTGGCCTGTTAGACCTGTTACCAAGGTGTCACGAGAACTCCCTGTGGGAACCAGAGCTTGGTACCAGGCACCTCGGCCATTTAAGTGTGGAACAGCAGTAACGGCCTTGACAACATAAGCACAGGAGTCCTCAGGCCTACAAGCAACTCACTGATGGCCAATTACTTGTCATCGAAGAAATATAACCTTAAAGGACTCATGGGGAAAATGCTGCTTTGAACATAATGAAGAAAAAAAAATAATGCAGCAGCTAAGCAAGAGGAAAATCAGCTGCCCAACAGGGTAAGATGCCGACCACAGCCTGGGAGAACCACAGCCTCCAGAACCACCTCCAGGGCAGAGGCCAAAGCCTAAGAACTGTCCAAAACCTCAAACATTGTACAGAAGGACACCTTGAATATGAACAGGGTGAGGGGGAGGCGTTTGTTTTGTCACTGTTGTGCGCAATGTTATCGAGGCATCACCGAGGGGTCCAGGGAGCTGCATGAGTGGGGCACCCACCCACCTGCCCGCTCCAGCGACCCCGGGTCTCCGGTTCTCCCTTCTCCCACTTTGCCAGACTGCGCCAAGGCCCCTGTCCCTCCACCTGCCTGCTCAGAGCCCGTCTCTCGCTGCCTCCTGTTCCAGAGAGCCGGCTTTTCAGCAGCCTGGTGACCTCCAAACCGATCGTTCGTGACAGTGTATGGCAATACTGGGGCAGAAGGGGTGTCTAAATGTGGTGCTCACCACCCCCTCCCACCCTGAATTCTGCACATTTCTCCTCTTAAACACCACAAGTGCTCAATAAGCCATTATAGTATGCAAACTCAATCTGGCCAGTTATTCTGTGCAATTTTTTCATCCATCGTACAATACAGACCGAAACTAGAAACACTGCAGCTGATCTGTGCTACAAGGCCATATCTGCTGCAATACTTGCTGTAAAAGTACTGAATTTCATCCTCATTTCCCTTTTATAGTAAGTTTTTGTTTGGGACTAAGCAAAATGTAACAGAAGGGATGTTAGCTGGCCCCTGCAAGCCACGGCGTACCTACCAATGTCCTGAATTGGCTGCTTTACTCCGATTTCATTATTCACGGTCATTACAGAAACCAGACTTGTATCCGGCTGGAACGCGGCCTCCAGCTCCTGGCGAAACAGTCAGATGGACAGAAGCTGTGACTAACGGCAGAAGCAAGATTCCTGTGCACACCCTCAATTTGTTGGTACATCTTCGCCACCAACCGCCCCGCTAGCGCGTTCCCAACAAACCCCTCGGGTTCCGACACACGGTCCTGGTGCGAAGACGGAACTCCAGCAGGAAGAGCAGCACGATCAGCTGCGTTCCTGCACAGCCTAACCCCCGCGCGCACCACGCCGCCCGACCTGACCTGATCAGGTCAGAACAGGCTTTTGCTGTGCCTCATACATTCCTCTGAACGATCTTCTTTAATGAACTAACGACCCACAAAACCGCTGAAGCCACATCCAGACAAAGCGAGGTTGGCTATGAAGGAACTCCACCACGCTGAGAAGGAGCCTGCCAGCAAAGTTCTCGGGGAACACGACCGCCACGTCTGCACCTGCAGACCAGATCCCTCCGCCCCACCAGACACACAGCGTCCCTCCAAGCCAGACAGCGGGGCTAGAAATAAACCCGATGCGGTCCTGTGCTACAGGGCACACACGACACAACAAGCACACACAGCTCCTCCGTCGCAGGACTGCGGCCAGCACACCCAGACGGGTCAGCCCGCGGACAGCAGCCGGGAGGGGGTACTGTAAGCCAGGGGTCTGATGCCCGGAGTAGCTCAGGTCGTGAAATCTCACCACTAACACCGGTATCAAAGCCAGCTCCATCCCAGTCACGTACTGGGCTCTCTACAGGGTATCACCTGCCTGGGTATGAACGACAGCAGGTGAACGGCGGGACGAGAGAAGGATGTTCGGGTTGAGAAGTCCAGAGCACCAGACAGAACAGAAAATCCTTCCCCAGCTGTGACGGAGATTTGACTGTGACTCTCCTTCTACCTTGCGATATCTACCAACCTGTCCTCTCGAGTGTCAGTTTGAAGTCAAAACCTCTTTTATTTTCGCTTTCTTTCTCTCAATAAAGAACCTACCTTCAAATCTATGAGCCCATTTTTTTTAACAGGAAGATAGGTGACCCGAAAACCTTCTGTCTCCAAGGAACGGCAAGAATCCAAGACGCACTTGTGCTCTGTTTGCGTAGTAATGATATGCTTTTTTCTGGATTTATAGAACCTTGCAACACCCTGTAAGGCACAATCCGCGAACAGGAGATCTGCCGTTAGACCACTGACAAACGCAAGCTTTACACAAAATGATCAGAAACAAGATATTACTATTCAGATATAATTCATTTGGATCTTCCCAGTTTGCCCCAAAGTTATGAATCTAAAACGTACGGACATGCAATTCACACCGCGTATTTCCATCAGCACTCATTTTTCCAAGCTTCTCACTTTCCAAAAAGCCTGTGAAAATGTTAACTGATATGAGTTGTAGACACCATTAACAGAAACACTTCTTTAAAAAACATTTGCAATGGAGTCGTATACAATGCGAAGACTGAACAACCACATACTAAAGGTTAAAACACTACCTGGTCTTAGTCAGAAAAAAGATTGTGATCGGCACCTCCACTATATTTCACGATAAAGATTTTAATTACATAAGCAGAAGGACTGTGTCTGGTGCAAGAGAAACTCTGAGTATCATATTACATCCTCAAAACCATGTCCTGGGCACCAAAACATCCCAGTATTTCCTCTGCATATGCAGCAGAACACCACCAGGAGCAAATCCAGGAATGCAAATATTTGCTAACTAAGCAAACACATTAACATTTAAACTGTTCAAAGGTGCACACGGTTCTTAAAAGCGTAATTTTAACATAATGAGTAACTACCAGTATAAACCTTTTACCTTAATTGCCATATTATTTGATTCTGTTGCACCACTGGTAAATATAATTTCCCTTGAATCAGCTCCTATTAAATCCGCAACTTGCTGTTCAAAAACAAACACAAATTTGATTTGATAAAACGCAATGAATTCACCATAGCAAAACACATGCCCAATGTTTTCAAGAGCAGCCCCCTGAGCCTCAGAAGGATTACAGCTAGTGTCCAACAAAGTTATGCTACAGGTACAACAGTCTAAATACCTGCATTAATACACAGTACGAGGAACTCGTAGTCATTAGCAGTGGTGGTAGTAAGCATTAGCCTGTCATAAAAGAACATAAAAACGAAGTACACAAAAACCCTCTACATACCTACTTTAAAAAAATAACAAAGACCCATACCTAAGATTAGGAGAGCAATAAAATGCGAAGTTTTAACCCAATTACTGCAGCAGCACACTTGTGACCTCAGGAAGCCAAAACTCCTGAGGCAGCCTTGCCTCACCTATTGGTTTCTGCCGTCTCACTTGCTCTAATCTCACTACTTTTTCTTGCGATAAACCTGCTCAGCACAGCTACGCAAAGAAGAAACTGCCAAACCCAGCCCACAGAGAGCCACCTACCCACCTACCCACCGCAGTTCTGTCACTGCTTTTCATTTTCTTTCGACACCGCATTTCCTCGCCAGCAGGAAAACCGCTGCAAACCGCTCCCCCCCAGCCGTAGGCGTGGGTCCGGGAGTGGGGGTTGCCATAGTATGCTGTCAGGTACGGCAGCATGCTGTCCAGCACCCGGGGATCCTGTGGGATACCAACACCCATCCTTGGAAACACAGAAGGACAAGCACCTCTGTCCCCCTCCACCCCCGCCCCAGGACCAGCAGCACTGCCGCCGCCGTGCCCAGGCTGAGCTTGGGGCAGATCTCGACAGCGTGAGGGTGTCGTATGTACCAGGAGTGGTGTGGGCAGTGGGAGCAGGGCAGGGATCGGGCCCCTGTGCTGGCACTGGTGAGGCCACACCTCGAGTGCTGTGCTCAGTTCTGGGCCCCTCACTGCCAGAAGGACATTGAGGGGCTGGAGCGTGTCCAGAGAAGGGCAGCGAGGCTGGGGAGGGGCTGGAGAACAAGGCC